CAAAGACTTACCAGCATCTCTGGTTCAAATGATCACATATCTGAAATGATGTGAAAAGATTTATGTTTTAAAAAGCAGAAGTCCCAGAAGCAGACAGTATTCCAAGCTGATTCGCATTTCCCCCTGTGTCAGGTATCGACAGACAGAAAGCTAATATTTCAAATGATCAATCAAATAGTAAATGCTCATCCAACAGGCAAAATCATCACCCATACAATGGCTTCATGTCATGAAAAGGATGGAGACAATGTTTTTTAAAGCATTAAGGTGGTATAAAAGAGTCACAGGTGACGGGTATGCATGTGCTCCTTCCACAGTTGCCTCTGTCAAAAATGTTTTTAGAATGCTGTTTACTGGTAATAACGTCTCTGTTAAACAATTCTCCACTCCCTTAAGACTGAGAGTTCACCAAGTATTACAATGATGATGCTGATGATGATGGACCATGCGGATCATCGAGTCCTGTCAAGGAGCCACAATGGGGAATCAAACTCCCAACCTCTGCCTAAACCACTGAACTATCTAGCAGTCCATACATAGCCTGTGATTGCATGGATTGGAAGGCTGCAAGCAATCCTGAAAGGGACCTTTTGAAATGCATGCAACCCACACTTCTGCATCAAGTGACTGTTTGGGTAGATGAACCACCATCAACAACAACCCTGTTAGAACATCACATGCTGCAGTTTTGATTGCTTTTGATAATCTGATCAAAACAACTTCAAGATATCTAGAGATGAGCTGTTAACTTTACAGGTTCTCAAACCTTAAGATCAGGTACTGAACTTCGGCTTTCTTGGTTGCCATCTACTGAAAAGTGGTTTGAGGTTTGCTTACTCAGCACCTGAACTTGTTATTACAAGAGGCAAAGGTCCAGGTTGCCAAGGAAACCCAGTAATACTAGCCATTTGGAGTGAAAGGAAAGCAATTGGCTTTGTTTGCCCTCAGTGATATTTCATGAACAACATTGATTGCTGGTATGAACACATTGCCATGGAGGAAGATGAAAGAAAAAAAAGCATTATTTCTATGATGCAAGCACGCATGAGAAAAGGGTGAATTAACATGGATGAAATTATTCTTGAGGGAATCTGTGGCTTCTGCAAAAGTGCAAAATTTGCTGTAAAAATTGTGAGGTCAAGACTTTGGCTGATCTCTAATGAATTTATTCTCACTGTAATTGCAAGAGATGAGATAAAATTGTAGAATCAAGTCATTATAACACAGCTTCACTCCAGCCAACTGTCTTTGTAGTATGAAAGAAGACTTTTGTTTTATGCATGAGACACTGATGCTGGTAAAGTCCTCATAAATTCTCATAATCATTCTCATATCTATTAAATATGTAGCAAAACAGGCACCTCTTTTGCATAATTCCTGCAGTGCATTATTGTTCAGAGTTCATCTAATTCAATATGGTTGTAGTTATAATAACTGAGTGAGTTATAAGGTTATCTACAAAAAATGAATGTGAACTGTATTTGTAATAGAAAAATCAATACAATTCGGGATTTTTTCCTGCTATTTGTGCTCGGATCTGATTAAGAACAAAAGTATGAGATAGCTTGTTTTTACAGCATATCAACAATATATTTCCATCATACAAACATAATTACTTCATATGAGAAGTAACAATATATTCATGTTCACCTATTGAAATGTCTAGTTCATAAAACTACACTCTAATGCAGTTGAGGCAACATTTTTCAAAATGAATTATTTTCATTGTATAAAATGCAGTAGCTAAGTGCAAATGACTAAACGATGACGAAGTGCAAGGTTGTAGCACCATATGTCTCTAAAGTACTTACATTCAGCTGTATCATTTCCACAGTTTTTTATAGAAATCTATTCATTACCGTACCAAGTGACCACCACATCATTGAGCACAATTCAGACAGAAACCCTCTCCAACTTTTCTTTTCGGCATATTTTAATTCTAATTCAGCAGTAGACATTTTCCAGAGGGGTGGCCCTTTTGCACTGTCACCGAAACAATGTCCATAGCTTGTTCTGAACTGACTGAACAATAGTTCACCAAACAGGTTGTACTGTCTCCTGTGGCCTAAAAAAGGACAAAGTCTTTCTACATGTGTCAATCAGGTCATCAGTCCAAGAATATCTTTTTTACCCACCAGAACGGTTTTTTTTAAAAAAAATTAATGGTCAATGACTAAGGTAGTTATTGCTGTCTGTACTTTCTATGTTTGAAGTCCTTTTGATCCCATTATCTACAATTCCTATGTACCCAAGCACATATAAATCTGTAAACTTGAGGTAACCCGTGATGCTGCATCTGATCAAGTTCACACTGTCTGGAAAGCTTATGCTGTAGTAAAGGTTTAAGTTGCCACAAACACGTCTTGTTTCTACAACAAACAGACAAACCCTATTCAGACATTCACCTGAACACACACAAGGCTGTTTGCACATATGCATACATGTGCACACCATGCCTTTGAATGCTGTCACACACCTGGCATTGTCACAGATCTCTGTATACTGAGCACAAAGATCTGCACAGCGCTTTGTAAGTATGTTTGACTGACCATATTTACAAAGCTTTCACAATAAGGACAGTGATTACCACTGGTGAGAATCCTGTTGTGTAGTTACACTGGCAGAATAAAATGGTACAGCTTGCAGCAGCCAATTGCTGCTAATTAATGATCCCATGCTTGGATTCCTTATCTCATGTTTCATGTCAGTTTAATGGCTTGGCATAAGACACAGAGCTATACAAAAGGATTTTACCTATTGTCTGCATTTTTCTGTGTTTGAAATCTTTCCCTTAAATTTTTTTTCCCTTAGAAAGGTATAGTGATGTAAGGGGCAGCTGGGATAGGGGTACCCTCAGAGAGGGGGGACTTGAACGGATACATTCCAAATCAATATTTTATAGTAATTCTATACATTCTCTTCTAGTAATAGTTTCACATATCATAAAGAAATATAAACAGTGAGTGAGAGGTAAAAATCAAATTCAGACAGATATATTGTTATTGATTATGTAGTTGATAGTCTTTATCCTGTTTTGTTTGAAATCTTTCTGATTGGAATATACCCATTCATGCAAGCATTCTGCCAACTAGAGGTAGCACTTGACAGATTTCTGAGAAAGCTGGGTACAATCTTACTCTTTCACACTACTTTAAAAAAGAAATTCTAAGCATATTTTAATGTACGCAAATTGCCTTTTCACCTTTGTCAATGAAATTCCTTCAACTTAACCAGAAAACAAGAATTATGACTGAGAAAACAAAGGAGAAATGAAATTAATGAGAACTGGCATTGCGGAATAATAAATACCAACACAAACTGCATGCGATGATTCTTCCTTCCATCCTAAATACCTGGTCTTTCACTAAAAGGAATCAATGTTTGTTTTTATCCTTCTACAATGTTCCCAGTTAGTATACTAATTTAGTGATTATAGTTTTGTGGAGGGATGAACACAGAGTAATAGGATTAGAGGGAAGATCATTCTACAATGTTAGGGTCAGGAGGATGCCAGTGAAAGTGATCAGTGAAACATTTTGCCAGATGGGGCCGCCACTGTGAAGCCAGCAAGAAGGGCAATTCTAATTACTCAGAAGTGTTGGGATGCAAGTGGGAGACTCTCCACATGCATGTACTACATGACTGGGTAAAGTCACCTAACTGAAATCAGCAGCCCACACTAGGGGTTCCTATCAAATCACCAATCATAAGTTTGTTTAGGGCTGAGCAAGGCATTTCTTTTTTATATATCTAGGAGGATCTCTTGGCGTTGACAAATAAAGATGAGAATTCCCATCTTCCATAATTCATCTTGCAGCAATGGCCAGAAATGCATGTTCTTGAACCAGCCGCACAGTGTTCACTACTTCAGTATAAAGCAATTGTTCATAATCTGAAAAGTTGCTTTTGTATACACATACTGACGCGCACACACACATCTCTATTTTAAGCATTTTTCACTTCACCTCTTACAAGGCTTCAGAAAAGACCAGTGCAGAGAGAAGAGAAAATAAAATAAAATAAAAGACTATACGTTATCATGAGATAAATCTTTTTGATGTATTGTTTTGAGGACTTATATATTTTGCACACATCTCAAGCGCTAAATATTAAACCAGAAGAGGCTAGGCTAAACCTATGGAGAACAAAAACAACACACCTTGCCAAATGGATGAATGCCGAAGAGTGTCTCCCACCAGGACAAGACTCTGGCTGGACCATCTGGAAGTCACTTAATAGACTTTGAAGCGAAGTAGGAAGATCAAAGAATAATCAAGTAAAATGGGGCTACTTGGGTACAGGGCAAATTTTCTATGACTGTGGAGAAATTTGATCAATGCCTCACTACGTGTAAAAAAAAGAAATTCTTGCAAATGGCTGAGATAATGCTATTGAAGTAGCCTGCTTCTGCTAATATTGAAGTCGCCTGCTTCTAGCAAATGGCCGAGATAACGCAATTGAAGATTATTAAAAATAATCTGATTACCTTAATATTTTAATTTCTTTTTAAATTTTACCTATATTTAATATCCATTCATACTTATAAATTGCACAATGCTCTTTGATACAAAGAAAGAAAGAAAGAAAGAAAGAAAGAAAGAAAGAAAGAAAGAAAGAAAGGAAGGAAGGAAGGAAGGAAGGAAGGAAGGAAGGAAGGAAGGAAGGAAGGAAGGAAGGAAGGAAGGAAGGAGGGAGGGAGGGAGGGAGGGAGGGAAAGAAAGAAAGAAAGAAAGAAAGAAAGAAAGAAAGAAAGAAAGGAAGGAAGAAAGAAAGAAAGGAAGAAAGAAAGAAAGAACTTCTATACAATCAGATTTCACATTTAATGAAAAGTATGTAAATCCATGCAGAAAAGGCCTACATCTTATAACAATTTCAACACGGATTTCATTATAATGTGGTCTTGATGTCAATAAGTAATTTTTAAATGCTCCAGACAAAATTAGCTAAATTATTATTTGAAGCAATTTAAATAATGTGTACAGATAAATTTCAATACTTACCCCTGGAGTGCTTTTTCTCCAAACCAATCTCCTTTTCCTAAGGTGCGGAGAAAGATGGGCTCTTCGCCAGCTGAATCTTCACGAGTAACATTTACCTGATGAGAAGCAAGAAAAAAAAGTGAAGTTAAAGAAAGGGTGTAATATGCTGTCTCTGAAATGGTGCACTCAGTAAGAGCAAGAGCCCTGAGCTGGGAAGGTCTCTGTTATATGCTAAGTAACAATGGCTGAAAAATTATAATCACTGGAACACTGAGGAGTTAAATAACTAGATAAATATGCCACTGAATTTTCTAGAATTATCTTTTGATGTAGAATGTGGCATTCCCAATCAGGTCCACTCCTTACAGATGACTAGCTACATATAAATAGAACTGGTACAGTCTCATGTTTCTACTTTATCCCACTCATCATATCTTGGAACTGGTTGGCTAAAAGCACTACAAATACCCAGTCACTTATTTGTGTTCAGTGAGGATGCTTTCGGGCATAAAACAAAAAAATGCTGTCTATTTTTGTGTATCAACAGCTCCTGTTGAATTAACCTGGATATTACCTTCCTTCTTACCACACATTCACTCCCCCGCTTTCCCAAACCAATCTGAGCTCAAAAAACTAACACCAGTTTGGGAGTTCTTTTCCTATTTCCATAGCAATGAATGGTGCCATTGTTTCTCATGGAAGTGGAGAAAGGATTTTTAGTGCCAAATGCGAAGAAGAAGGGACACTCCCTCATAGGTTCTCCACGAATGCTAATGTATTTCCACCCACCCTTTTAAAATTAGTCCTAGGTCCATTATACTATGTATATAGAGAACTCCACAACCATTGCAAGGTAGGTGCTTCTGTAGTTAACATGATTTGGCGTTAGTCATAGGAATAATCCCCCAATCTAGATTAAGACAGACCCAGAAATAAGACAATTTGATCAGCTATTTATCTAGGAGCTAGTTCTGGCTGCTCAGATCTGAGCATGAATTTTGACAATTTCATCAGCATCTTTGATCTGTGATTTAGTCACAATGACTGAAATCCTGATGCTTTGTTACGCATGTGGAAGCAAAGAGGATACGATTCAGTTGTTTCTAGCTGGCAATTAACACGTCACCATGGGAATTATCAGGGTTGGACGCCTGTTGACTTGGAGCACTGTTAAGAATATCAGCAGGAATACATTATTTGCCAGCCAGGAACAACTGAATGTTATACCTTATGCGTAACATAGCAACAAGATTTCAGCCACTACATATTTAGGTATATCCAAGCTCTTAATATGTTGTATTTCAGAAGAAGCTTGTAATATAAGGCCCAAGTAAATAAAAATCTTGGTTAACCAGACAGATCTCCTGGACATATATCATAATAAAGTGCTTGTGTTTTTGTACAGTTCTAGGGATCATTCACAGAAATTGTTATTGGAAAACGTATATTGATTTTAACCATTACACAGTTACATTATCCTTCCAAATGAATGATATTACATTTCACAGTATAAGAGCAACAAGTGGGTTAAAATACAAAACTGAAAAGCACAGTTTTCATCACCAACATGAAATCGCATCTAATTAAATGTGAAATACTGCATTCCTCCTGGCATAGCACGAGAAAACATAATAGCAGGCATCCCCATAATATACATTTATTGCTTTTGATATCTGCTTTAAATTGAGTGCCACAAGAACTTACCTTGCCTTTGCTGATTATGAAGAATGTGTCCCCTCGAGCACCTTGTCTGATAATGTACTCTCCATTTTCATAGTGTGTCTGCAGAAAATTTTAAAAAAAGGTCAAGAATAAAAGGAATCCAGCTTGCAGCTTAGCAATTTTATAAAATAAACATTAGATATGCATCTGAGTTAAAGAAGGTCTAGGATCTTACGGAATTCAAGAATCTAAAGACATGGAGGAATAGAGCAAATAAAAAGAAGAAAACATCTCAGTTACGCCTTTTTAAAAAAATATGGACCAAGAATACAGAACGAATACGCAGAAAGAATGATACAGTTTTGTGAAGAATAACTTGTCATCGCTGATAACATGTTCATATGACCACCAATGAACCAGTGTACATGGAAATCCCCAGAAGACAGAACAATATTGTTAGAAAGCAAAGGGCATATATTTTAATTAATTAGAGGTACCCTTGAACTGCTAACTCAGTAAAACCTTATTCTGGAGCTGATATAAAATTAGTTTTAATCCTGCCACTCTGTAATTTGTCTCAAATTGAGGAAACTACAAGTAAGTCAGAGAAAGCATAGGAATTCAACAACTAATTGACCCAACTATATATACTACTGTTAAGGAAGGGTTCATGGAGGCATGAAAAAAAATTGCTCAAAGTACTCATATATACCATAAATGCTACTTGCTAAAGATTAACACAGGTATTAGTAAGTAGGAATGCCACCAATAAAGTAGATGTATAAATGAAAAAAAGAAGTGGATGATAGAATACATATTAGAGTTAATGAGATAAACATTAAAAAACAAAGACAACGTCAATATACAGAGAACACTTGAAACAAAACTAGGAAAAGATGAAGAAAAATGGAGGGTGAAGCAATTTCCACAAATAGAAAACCTAGAGAAGATGCATAAAAAGATCGGTCAGTTAGCAAGTGTATTTTAAAAACAATAATGCCCACTACTCATGGCTAGTAGTAATAAATCTCTGGTCCTTGATGACAAAGGTAAAATCATGGTGTGGAGTACTTTCACTGAAGAACTGTTTGAGAATTTTAAAAACCAACACAAATTATTGGATCAGACATCAGTATCGTACTAGAAATAAAGAAATATGAAAGGCAATATGGCTAAAACAGCAACAACAGCAAAGCTTTTGGACTTCATGCAGGCATTAAGGCTAATAGAAAATGACAACTTAGATGCTTCAGTGAATCTTTTAAATCAAATCTACAGAAGAGCAATCATTCCTGAAGCTTGACTGAGACTGACCTGCCAAAAGGAAAAGGCCGAAGCATGTAGTGATTACAGAACGATGAGATTAGTGAGTCACTTCACATGTTTATAGTTTTCATGTGGCAGAATTAAAATAAAGTCTTAAGAAGAGGTATGTGGCACACAGTTTGGGTTCTGAGGAAGATTTGGAACTAGAGAAGCATTATTCTGCCTGCATGTACTGAGGGAGAAATACTGTGATATGAACATCGATACCTGTGCTTGGTTTATTGACTACAAGCAGGTTCAGCACAGCACACTAATGGTGTTCACAGAATTGGCAAGTTGAACTCACAGCGAAAAGCTGTAATGAAGGCTATGATCAGATGACAAAGCACAAAAGAAATACAATAAAAATGTATACTTTCATCTCTGCATTGATGCAAACAATGGCACCATTTTCAATGGTGAAGTTATCAACAACGTCCAGCAGGCAGACAATGCAGTATTACTAGCTGACAATTTAGCTCATCTGAAAAGCTTATTCAATAAAGTCATCAAAGACAATGGAGCAAATAGTGGCTAAAATCCTATTGTGCAATTTTACACAATGAAAATAGGATGATGTCATCATAATGCAACCAGAATATTTGATTTAAATTAACGGAAAGCTTCTTATTTCTCCACGTTCAGATTCCAAGGCTCTTTATGAAACCTCTTCTGCCTTAGGAAAGCCTTTGGAAGCCATTAAAAAATCAGATTTTTTCGGACAATAGAACAGGGAAGAAGGCTTTAATAACCTCAAATAACTACCAAATTGCCACCAAAGGGATTGGGACCACAGAAGTAATATGGCAGCAACTTTGAGCCATTAAAGGCTCCCCCACCATGGCAAGTCTCCCAAAAGGGAACCCTAGGGAACCTCAGAACTGCAAAGGGCAAGAGATAATGCTTGCAATCAATTTAAATAAAATATTCCTGTAGTGTGTTGTTGAAACCATCATATTTGTGCAGCATAAATTACCGAAAGAGGATTCCAGCTAATGTGTGATCTAAAAATTAATGTTAAGATGACCATGTTCATGGTAGTCAACTAAAAACAAGCAGCTGAAAAAATGAAGTTAAAGATCCCAAATAAAATTGTGGAGCATGCTGACAAACCCCCAGATAAGACAAACCCCCAGATAAGAACCCCCAGATTTGACAGAATGAAGAGTAGGATCATAGTTACACAACAAACATTGGAAAAGAGCAGTTTTCCTGAGATTGTACCCAATGTGCAACTAAAACTTCAAACTGACTTTGAGAATTGTGTGTTTTAGCAAAAGCTGCAATAAAAAGAAGCATTTGAAATGTGGATTTATTACTCAATGCAAAGAATTTCTTGGATCAAGAGGATGACAAAGGGAGATGTACTAAAGGAGATGAACAGAGATCAAGAAATCATATAGACACGTAAAATGCAGAAGGCTAAATACTTCAGTCAAATAATGAGGAACAAAGAGTATAGCAAGTGCAAGAAGAACTTATTTGCTGAAGAACCTGGGAAACTGATTTGGATGCAACCAAACACCATTGTTTTGAGCTGCCACATCCAAAGTAAAAACAGCCATGATGATGTCCAGCCTCAAGTAGGAGAGAATAAAAAGATGATAACAGCCAAATTTCAGACTATAGTTTACCCAGTGCCCTTATTTACAAATCATAAGAAGCCAGAGATCTGTTGGGATCTCAGGTTTTTCATTTATGAGCACTCTTCTAGTGCATGCTGTATGATTGTTATTGCGTGGTTTGTTTACTGTGTTGCACAAATACAAGGAACTACTTTTCTCTGATTTGTTTCTGCCTTCTGCCCTAAGAAAACAGAGCAAGAGTCTACATTTTGTTCTTGGTGTGGTGGAAAAGAAGCAAAACAGAAAACGCCAACCCACATTTGTATAAAATTATAAAAAATCACTTTGGTTTAGGCATGCCTGTTTCAAGCTTGAATACAAGCTGGGCTTATATACAATCCCTGGCTTTATATGTTGTGCAAATTTACCCAGTGTCATTACTTTAAAAAACAGACCAACTCTTAACAATCCTTCGAATGATGCTTGTGGAAATAACACTCTTGTATGCTTTTCTAATTAGCAATGGCCTTTAAGGATGGGTGAGCTTTCTCTGGCTTGCACTGAAAATTAGGAAACAGTCTGCATTTATTAATAAGCCAAACCCAATTTGGACACTTAATTTACCAACCCATCCAACTCAAAATTGGAGGGAAATTATTACACACACACACACCCTACTGCAGCTCCAATAAAGACGTTTTCAAGGCTCCAAATAATTTCTGATTTGGCTTTCAGCAAAATAGGACCCCAGTAGTGCTACTTTCAATTTAAAACTTCCCAACAATTCAGAGGCTTTTAACAAATTTAACAACAACATTTTAAAAAGGAGAAAAATAACATTTTAAAACAAGGAGCACATTGAATGTGTCAAAATTCCTGTTGAAAATGAACCCCAGGAAACACAACCACTATTTCTCAGCAGTTGCAAATCAGCACACTCCCATAACTACTTGGTTGCTTTCACTTCCTGACCCCTAGGCGTGGTCTCAGTCCTTTAAACAAGGTAAAAGCTTATTATTTGGAGCAACTGGGTAAAATGCCTCTTTTGCACTATAGAACAGATAAGTTATATCTCAAATTAATCTGGAGCAATAGATGCAGGAAAACATATTCAACTGGATAAGGAGGTCCCTAAATTCATTAATATTTAACAGAGTATTTGGTGTATATTTACAAGTAGCTCTGAGAGTGGCTTAAAAAAGAAACGCTATGAATGTATTTATATGATACATTTTGTGACATCCCACCCAGTGTTCCCGATTTGTTTTCCCCAAACCAAAGTTCACTCTGGAGACGCTTTTCTCTTTCATTCGCTGCCACCAGTGGATATCCCTTATCCACCCTTGCCCAATACTTGAATCAGACACTTGCTGTCAACATAACTTGTTTATTTAGACTGAATTTGAATTACAGATGTTCTTTCTAATCATTGTATAGAATCACTCATTAAAACGTCTTATCTTTGGTTACACTCTCAATTCTTCATTTGTTTTATTGATTTATTCAACCAATTTATTAATATCAATACTCTCTAGTTCTCTAACTATATATCTATCTTGACTATTCAATTTCTCTCACTCTCCTTCTTTTTCTTCTCTCTCCCTAACTTCAACACTCATTGTCTCCAACTGCCTAACTGACTCTCTGCCTCCACCTCTCCTGTCCTCTCATAGGCTATGCAAATGAGCTCCCACTATGAGTGACAGGCGTGACGTGAGGCCTCCATCACACATTTATTGCATATTAAATTCTGTCTACCAATGATTACAAGATTACAAACCTTGACAGGAAAAAAACATTTTCATTAAAAATAAACCTATAAACATAATAATATAGTCTGCAATGCTACACCTACCCTGTTTCCCCAAAAATAAGACCGAACCTGAAAATAAGTCCTAGTATGATTTTTCAGGATGCTCGTAATATAAGCCCTACCCAAAAAATAAGCCCTAGTTAGGTGAAAGCCCACCCCACCACCACTGTGCAGCAACCAGAAGATAATGACATGATTGCATTTGAATAAATGTTGCACATGAAAAAAAATCACCTGAAAATAAGCTCTAATGCATGTGGTGTTGTTGGGTTTTTTTAAAGCAAAAATTAGTATAAGACCCTGTAGTTACCTGGAAGTAAATCCTTGGTGTATGACTTCTGTGTATGTACTGCATTTGGGTCTCAAGGACTGTGGTCTTTCACTGTTAATACTATAATGAGAAGTAATAAAGATTCTTTGTCCAAAAAGAACACAGA